CGACACAACAATTATTAACCATTCCTCTCCCAGTTCTCTGCAAAAAGCTAAAGAGCTTGGCTCTGAGCTACCAACCAGTTAGTTTACACACAGAGATTTTAGATAAGATATTAAAGATAACTGCTGCAGTAGCAGCAGTACATCGCGCTTTGCTAGCTTTCCCACCAGTAGGCGTGGTAAATTAACTTCCGATAGACAAGCTCATTTATTATTCATGAGCAAACAAGCGCCCACCCACGCGTGAGGAAGGTCTATTAGCTTTTTACGACCTGGGGGCGTAGCCCCCAGGTCGTCCTATAATTGATTTCACCCACGTGATATATATATTTGATTGTATGTCAACACTTCATTTCTTCTATACATGTTGTATTGGAGAAATAACAAGCCTTAGCAACCACCCGCCCACGCTACGTAAGTGGGTGTGGTCACGGCAAACAAAATGGTGATTTACACATGGAACAAAGTTATGAGCATTCTAACAGCGAAAGAACATAGAGATACTGTCTAAAGTCTTTTCTGGAAGCATTAGAAGGTAGAGAGAACCTTCATAAGTCTTAATAAGAACCCAGCTGTACTTGCAAGGTGGTGAAAACAATTATAGGAATATTTTTACACTGTTACGCTTGTTAAAAGAAGAATTATCAGTTTGGGCGCTCGACCACATGTGCTTATGTAAACTATGATATCATAAAACGTCATTGCGGTTAGCTTTGGTATGCCATTGGGTTTATAGGGAGAACCCGGTTCTCAGGGTTCCCAAGGGTTGAGAGACCCAAGACCTGAGATCCTGAAGTGGCATTGGGCGACTAAGAACCTGTGAAAGTCTCATTCTTATCCCACATTCCTATAAAAAGTTATTCCAGTTTTTCTTGGTCCACTCAGTTGGGACATATACTAGTACTTAGTGATGTCACGTATGACGTCACGTATAGACTGTGTACGTACGTGTATTATTATGCCAAAACGCCCCCGGATCTATAGATTAAAATAGCTACAGCCCACAGCATAAGCACATGCATCCTGTTTCATATCCAGTTCCGTTTCTAGGATCTATCAGGGGCGGATCTAGGGGGGTTTGTGGGGTTGCAACCCCCCCCAAAACATTCTAACTCAAAAAATTTTTAATGTTTTTATTGTTGCAACAGTGGTGAAAGTGCTAACCACCTAGTTTATTTAGCAACATTACTGTGGTTAATGAATATAATTAACAAAGAATGAGCTCCAAAAATGGTAGAAAAGTTAATTTTCACGTGATTTTAACCACAAAATAGCGCCGAAAAGGGGGCGTGGCCAAAATTTCAGCGCCCTTCGCGCGCCATTTTTTCTCTCCACCCCTCCATTTGCAAAATCCTGGATCCGCCCCTGTCTATGCCTATAAAATAAAATATAAACTATGTGAAACTGACTTGTGCAAAAGATGCAGCACCTCAATGTGTTACTATTACTTTCATTGGGAGTATTGTTACATTTTGGACTCTGTGAGGAATGTTATGAAATGAATTGTGATCATGTGGCCTGATTATTTTAGCTGATGCAATACAATTTGGTCAAACTGTTCCTTTTCCTGGTACAGCATGTTCTGGTGATAGACTAGTACTTACTTGTACAACTGATTCTGGTATTCCTGGTGGTTTACTAATATGGGGACTAGATAATGATCAAAGACCTCAAATAACCAATACTACTCAACCTCGTAAAGTAGGGCATTTCTTATATCAGGTTACTGCTGTTAATGGTACTGTAATAACCAGCACTGCCACTATTCAATCAGTGAATGTATCACATAATGGAACTGTGATTGGTTGTACAGACGCATCTGGTTTTGCTACTGATACCTTTGATTATGTAACTATCAATGTAGCAGGTTAGTCAAGACTGAGATTGTTTATTATAAATTATATTATTAACAGGTCCACCAGTATTACCAGTATTACATACAACAATTGTACCAATTGATAATAGTTCATTATTAATTAGTTGGACAGATACACAACAATGTATAAATTATTATAATATCATAATCATCAATAATGAAGAATATACTGAGAACAATACTGTCAATACATCCTCAGCAACCATTGGTTCTCTTATTATTGGTACTAATTATTCATTTGTTATTATTCCTATTGATACTATTGGAAGAGAAGGACCTCCTTCATCATTAATACAGTATATATGGAATGGTAAGTACTATACACACACACACTCATTGTATTTCTTATAGTACCAGCTCAAGTTGTTAATATTAGTTGGGATCAGATATCAACTGGTAGTATTACAACATGGTGGAATAACAGTCAAGTATGCATTTAAATATGATATTATTTATTATTATCAAGTTTAAAAAATAGGATACTAATATGGAGCCTCCTGTTAATAATTATACAATAAAATACAATACTACTGGTCAAATTACTCACAATACTAATATTACTATTACTGGAGTACCTCTTACTGATACAAACTACACTGTTACTATCATTCCTGTTAATGTTATTGGATATGGACCATCAGCTACTGTTAATGGTACGTATGTACAATTACCGGTACTATATCAATTAACATAGCACTCTGTAGCACACATTAATGCATAGTTATATTGTTTTATAGTCGGTATCACCAGTACTTCAACAATTTTAAAGACAACAACTACTACATCAGGTCTGCACAATTAATACATTATTCATTAATACATACATATTATATATTATAAGTTACATTAACTACTGATATAAGTACCAGTACATCGGTAATATATATAACATCTGCTTCGGGTAAGTGATAATTGTAGCTTTTTACCATTATTTAACAAATAAATAATAGTTGCATTGTCTTCAACAGTCTATGAATAATCATTATCTTTTGTTTCAGCTACATCAACTATTACTACTAGTAGCATGAGTGCATCAGATTCAACAACAACTGCATCAAGTGCTGTTCCAATTATATCAGGAGCTATTGTAGCAGTATTTGTTATAATAATGATGATCATTACTCTATCAATAATAATACTGGTGTATGCTAAAAGACACAGTAAGTATGATTATTATAAATTAAATGGTAAATTACCATTTCTGTAGGAATAAAGAACAGAGAAAGGTTAAGTAAAATTAACAACTAATAATAATTATTCTTTTCTTATTATAATAGTCATACAGCAAATGGTAATAAAAATGAGGTATAAAATATACATATTATTATATTATATCTTTCATAATATCCTCCACAGACTAAAGGAGTTACTGGTAGCTCATACAGAAACATTAATATTGAAGTAAATTAATAATAATGATCCTTGTTTATTAATGACTGAACGATAGAACTCCTTCCGGTTCTGATCCTTCAGTATATATAACTACTGTACATATAACTACCCCATCATTCATTATATAACTAGTGTAGACTGATCCCATTCATTATATAAACGGCCCCAGTCATTATATGCTGTTGTGTTTCATTCATTAGTTACAACCTACTGATCCTACTTATGTTACTCCTACTACTATATGTACTCCAGCAGCTGCTTCTATTGTAAGGACACTACACGAAGATAGACCGCCTTCTTATCTACCACCTCCTCCTACGGGTAAGAACTTTTATGTACATTTTGGTTCATTTTAAAATGGCCATAACTCAAAAACTTTTAGTCGAAATCAGCTCAGACTTTTTACATAGCATAAGGACATGCATCAGAATATTGGGGATGATTTTAGAACCAAGTTTTAGACAAAAAGCATGTAGAAGGTCGATTTGTATTCAAAGACAACTGATCAATTGAAAGACTATACTGATATGTGTATGCACTAAGAGCACAGTGTGTGAGCAATAAAAGTCTAGAGAGGAAAGAGAGAGGGGATTGAGAGAAAATAAGTAGTACAGAAATCAGCTCTAATGTTACAGAAATCATAAACAACTATGATACCAGATAATTACTGTTTCTTTGTGAATATAATCGATAGTCTGTAACAGTGGTACGGAGTGCTAGAATGAAGATAGACGGAAGAACCAACGAACGAATAAATGCTTGAAAAACGAATGAATGCATCTCTTTGTCCCGAGACTCTATGCTTATTTATAGACCTCGATCACGTGAGGTCAAAGTACATTTACACACCACAAGCATGTACCGTATATACTGAAAAGTACATGTATACATGTTAAATAGCAGCTCATAGCTTTTAGTGTACATGTACATACAGGGTACTTAAGAAAAGCATTTGACACACTACACAATGACATTTAGTATACACATCACTTTAATACAATAACTGAATCAATTCACATACACCATAATACCCAGCACATACTTACATCCAGTCATCATTTAGTGTTCATTAGCAAGAATAACATTAACCTTCCTCTACCTGTCATGACATGAACCATATGTGTATACATGTACCACACAATAAGCTGACAACAGTCTACATGAGTAATCAAATGTTTTACTGTAAGATACAATGAACTAGCACATGATAGACAAGATGACATGATAGACAAGATGACCAAGATAGATAATGTGCATGCTCTACAGTGGTCAGTATTTAAGTATAGATTCAGTACTAGCTAGTACATTGTATATACATTATTATTATTATTAATATACAATATTCACTAGGTCAGTACAGTGTTCTTAGAGCTAGTGATGATGATGATACTCCCCCACCAGTACCAGCCTATAATCCTAATGGAGGACAAGAATACTCTGAACTGAAGAGAGAAGGAGAGGTAGGTATAGATAAACAATAAACAAAATACCAGACATACAATAACAATAATGTAAAATAGAAAAAGAATAAACAACAACAACAACAACAAGGAGCTGGTCCACTTTATTCAACACTCAATCAAGATGATGATACTCCTCCTCCTGTCCCTCCTGCCTATAATCCTGAGGGAGTACAGGAATACTCTGTATTGAAGAGAGAGGGAGAGGTGAGTGATTAATGAGAGAGTCTTTTAAAAATGGATCATATAATGTATCATTAATAGAATAAGGGTCAACAGGGTCTGTCTACTGGTCCTACTGAACTATATTCAACCATTAACAAGGACACTAACAACCAGGTATGTACATGTACATATTGTATCATATAAAGGAAGGAGAGGTAATGGGTGAATTGAGTACATCTTTTAGCTTTTAATGTAATAAGATGAACTTATCCTTATGTAATCTGATGTACCACCTTATAGTAACTAATACACACATACCACAAGTACATGTAAATGCATTAGTATAGGTATGTACATTAGTATAAGGTATATTAGTACATAAGGTATGTACATTAGTATAAGGTATATTAGTACATAAGGTATGTACATTAGTAATTAAGGTTCATGTTGTTATATTCAATAGGTGTTAGTTGATGAATCAGCTCATAAGCCAGTGTATGCTGATCTGGCTATTGCTGCTAAAGGGAAGAGACCACAGGCAGCACCAACACAAGAACAACCAGTGGTATATGCATCAGTTAACAACAAAGTAAACATAATGTACATGTACATGTAATGGTATCTTACACATCCTCTCTCTCCTCCTAGTCTGTTCCTCCTCCCATTCCTCCTCCAGCTGCTCCTCATAAAGTATTGTATGCTGATCTATCAATAGCAGCTGGTAAGAGAACACCAAAGAATAAACCACCCACTGAGGAAAGAGTAGTCCATTCATCAGTCAATGGAAATGTAAGCCAATACACATTATAATGTATGGAGTAACACACCCTTTATCTCTCTCCCTCCCTC